AATATAATTCTTTCAAATAAATATCTCAGAATATAATTCTCTAAATAAAATCTTTCGAATATAATTCTTTCAAATAAATATCTCCGAATATAATTCTTCAAATAAAATCTTTCGAATATAATTCTTTCAAATGAATAACTTTCGAATAAAATTCTTCAAATAAAAATCTTTCGAATATAATTTTTACAAATAAATAACCTTCGAATAAAATTCTTCAGATAAAATCTTTCGAATGCAAATAAGGATTTAATAAGTGTCAGCAATTTCCAATTTAATACTTAAAAATTCTCACGACTTTAAAACCAATAAAATTTGCACATATAAGTTATAAATGACGTAATGGAGTTGTTCCAATTTTTGGAACCGAAATCCGCCCTCGTTATCAACCAATCGACTTATGGTCGAATTTATGAATATTTCAAGAACTTCATTTTCCAACTTTTCGCCAAAATGTGCTGAATTGTCCTATGGACTTCCAAATCCAAATTCGAACATATGCCTAAGTCCGAAATTACCATACGAAGCTATTGATATTATCAAAACTCCATTCCGGAGCCGTTTGCTCAATAATCAAACTCCGGTCAATTATTTTCATTTAAGCTTCAAAAATGAGAATTGTTCTTTCACTTAAATTCCGAATCTTCCGAAAACTAAATTCGATCCCATATGCGGGTCATAATATAATACGAAATTGCTCAGGACCTTAAGTCACTGAACGGAACGTAAATTCTCAAAATGACAAGTCGGGTCGTTACATATAGTAGGTTATATCTGAATTTTGGAATATGTAAAACATTTTTGAGTATACTTCTTGCTGAAATAGGACTTGTACCCATATGTGTAACATAGACTACATCTCCATTGGGTAGGTGAACTTTCTTAGAATCACTGTGTTTGATTTCTTTTGACTTAGATAATAGCTTCAAATCAGACACCATCTGATTGGTGGCTCCTGTATCAATAATCCATTTTGGAGGCTTATGGCTTACCAAGAAGACACTGCTAGTACCTGCTGCCATGTTTGTTGAAGGAGCTGATAGAGAACTTTTGTTTAGCATCTACAGTATCTGCTCATATTGCTCCTTAGTGAAAGTGCAAGCCACTGGCTGTCTCCCTGATGAACTATCCCTTGAGCCTGAAGACTGCCTCTGCATTGCAATCCTGATGAAGCTTAAATCTGCATATGCTGAGCCTGAGCTTGAGCCTGACTTTGCACCTGCATAAATGGTTGTACCTAAGAGTAATAAGACATATTTGGATCTTCAATGCAGACATTGTAAGAAGCAGCTCCCCCTTTCTTCTTAGGCTTAGACCCCTGTGGATAACCATTGATCTTCCAGCAATTCTCTCTCTTATGTCACTTCTTTTTGCAGAAATCATAGTATTTATTGTATGTTTTTTCTGCTTCGAATAATTTCCAAGTGGTTGAGGATTGTTGACATGATAACTGTTATGTTTAAAATTGGCTTGAAATCCACCAGACCTAGCTGAGTATAGGGCAGTTGACTCATAGTTCTCATTCAAAGTTGCTGATATTAATCCCAGACTTTCTGCTATAGCAGCTATAGACTTTTGATTTTCATCACTCATAATCATTGAGAATGCCTTATTGACTATAGGTAAAGGGTACATCAATAAAATTTGACTCCTTGCTTGAGCATAGGAGTCGTTCAATCCCATAAAGAATTGATACAGCTTTTGTCTCTTCATGAAGGAAACATAATTCCTAGATTTCTCACAGATACAGGGAGCTGGTACTAATACCTTAAATTCATCCCATAGGTCCTTCATTTTAGTGTAATAGACAGAAACAGAGAAAGTGCCCTGGTATAATGTTGCAATCTCTTTGTGCAAATTGAAAGACCTAGAGCCATCTACCTTATCAAATTTCTCTCTTAGATATTCTTCCCAAATAGCTTGTACACTAGCTCCAAACACTACTCCTCTAACAAGTTGTGGAGTTACTGCATTCATTAAACATGAAAGTATAATTGCATTGTACCTCTCCCATTGTTCCCATAGATTTTTACGAAATTTCTCCTTTTTCCATGTTCCTTCTTCAAGCCCTAACTTATTTCTTACTCGCAAAGCTATCCTCATAGAATGACTCCATATAGTATAGTTATCCATATCTGTTAATTGAAACAAGATCAGTTGAGCTCCACTCGTATCGGCAAGTCCAAGGTACAACGGGTAATTGTGAGGAAAATCGACTACAAATTCCTCATTAGCTTGAGTACTATCACTAACACTTGCATTTACACCTGCGGCGACATTAGACGTGGTGTTTTCAACAGCGTCTCCCATGGCTGCTCTGCTTCAATTGACGAGGATTTCATTTTTCATTGATTCTCTGAACTCACAAAATTCACCAATTAGTGATGCGGATCAATAAACGAGACCAAAATTTCCTAGTCTGGCGGCTCTGATACCATATTAAATATATGAATCTGATGGAGCAAACCCTAGCTAGCTAGAAGAGAGGAAGAAGGAAAATGAGCAAAGAAGGGAAAATGAGAAATGATATTCTGTTATTAACCAAACAAGTACGATACAAAAGACCTCTTATTTATACACTTTACTAACTAACATTTAACCTCTAACTAACTATCATTAAATAGTCTAACCTACCCCTAATCCGGTAATACTACATTATCCCACCCCTTTCATAATAAATAACTAGTCCTCAAAGAGTATTCCGATCGGAAAAATTCTGGACCTAAAACACTTTTAGGTAAATACAATGGCAACTTAGATTCAAATGTTTTAAATTTGGATTAAATATATAACATTAGCATTGGCCATCATGTTGGTGTAATAAGCAAAATAAACAATTATTAACAAGTCAATAGACACTATATGTGGCCAGAAAATTTGCGCCTGTTTAGTACTAATTTGACTGTCAATTAACATACATCCATGATATTGTAGCGAGATTCCTCAGCTATAATAGCCAAGGAAGATAAATCAACTGTGTCAAATAAAAATTACTTTTTTAAAATCTGATAGATTAATAAAAAATCGTTGAGAATTATGTCCGAAATGCAACACCATCTCTCTCTTTAGTCGTCTTCATGCAATCATAGTTGGACCAACTTAACATAAATTGGAAAAAATAAAAAAAAAATAATTCGTAAACTATTGAGACATAAATTTAACAAAGAAGGAAAAATGGAAAGGATTCTTGGATGATCTAGATGATGATATCAAATTATCTGGAAGCAATTAATTAATTGTAAGATAGAATTTTAAAAAGGGTTGTTGCCCTAATATAAGAAGGGTATATTGTATAGAAACGTAAGTACTCCTCCCACGTGCCCCACCAACTTTGGCTCGAGCTTGTATTATGGTTGCTTAATCTTGGCTTGCGTTGTCCATACATGCACACGCTATTTCATACTGAGTTTTAACTCTTTATTCAGTGATAATCAAAGTTTTGTTTAACTTTATTAGGTAATTTAATAGTTATACAATCCTTCTTCGCAACTACTTACTCTCCGTCATCAAATTGGCTTTTAGACACACACAAACTGTCGGGTTCGAGTCCTGGTATAGAAAAATCCTTGACAGGGAACGTTTTTCGAATGGGGCCCTACCCGGCGCGAATTCGGATATAGTCGGGCTCCAATACAGATACCGGACACCAAGTGAGAAATAAAAAAAAAATCTCACACAAACTGTTGAGGGACTAAATTCTGTAGGAGGAAGAGTTGCCATATTCTTTTCACATATGATTTCAACTCACATAATTTTAAAGTAGGATGAGTTTTTTTTTTTTTTTTTTTTTTTTTTTTGATAGGACGCATTAGCGCGAGTAGTAGTGCAACACATCGGCAATGCGTGCAGGGACATATTTACGGTCTAAAATATGAGGCATGTGAACTCATGGTCTCTCCGCCAAACCAGATATTTTATGTATATATTTCCTAGAATTGATGTAATATTATCTTTCGGTTCTCTTGGACCGGTTCCTAAAATGGTGCACGTAATTGAATGTTGAGTTATTTGTCTATACGAACAAGGATCAATTCTCATTTAATATTTTTTTTCTCTTTTTTTATTAGTACACCCATGTTCTAATATTTCTGAATTCGCCTTTGGATGCGTAGCAAGTTGCCTTGATGTATCTTCACCTTAAAAAATTTGAATTATCAAATATTAAACGGATAAGAACTAACTAAACTTTTTTTTAATTTTATTATTACAAATACTACACTTGAGTCTAGCCAATAAGGCCGAGAAAGGTATGGATGAGATCTACACATTGGCTTTCGATAAACATCCACCAGTGTTATAGGGCTGGCCCATGGTAAAACATTTTTAGAAGTTTTTTTTCTTTTATTTAGTTTTTGTTGATTACTACATTTTAATTTACATGACATCCTTTTTGTTTTTAGATGTCCCGAAATTAACGGCAACGTTTTATTTGAGATGTCCGAAAATATTTGACATTTTTAAACTAATATGTTTTTCTATCCCATTTTTTAAGTTTCTGTAACCGGAGTATATTTACATTATTAACTAATTAATAAGCTTTCAAGCTGTGTATTCCCTAATTTCTTATTAGCTTTATAATAACTAGTACCTATATCCATTCTTTCTTTCACAACTAGTCAACTACTTACATGAGATCCAGGTTCAGATCATATCTCAAATCTGTGTGTTTGATAAAAAGAAAAGTGACATAAAGTTAAATTATTCCTTTAACGTTTTTGTTGATTACATAAGAAAAGTTACACCAAACGCACCAAATTAAACTGCACCAAGCATAGTGCATAACTTAACTAATTGTTTTTCAGCCCTGATTAAACTAATATTAAGTACGTTGTTTTTTTAATCTAATTAATGTCAAACTGTAATTTTTTATTTGAAAACAGAAACCAAGATATTAAAATAAACAAAAAGCATATGAACGGTTACAGCAGTTTGTATAAATACGGAAGATAGTCGCTCCCCAATTTCTTAGGAAAGTAATATTATTTCTCCTTAAGAAACCTTCTAAAAATGTTAGTTTTTTCCTCTTGTATTTTTCCAAACATGAATACTGAATGGTCCTTTGAAGAACCACAAAACTATGATCAGCAGAATAATATTCTACAAAATGAGATTACTAACGACTCGTTTGAAGGTTTACATATTGATAATATTCAATATTCATATTCTAAAGAAAAAAGCTTTGATAATCAGTCATTAATGGCGAAGAAGCTAAGCCATAACGCAAGTGAGCGTAATCGACGGAAGAAGATGAATTTCCTTTATTCCACTCTTCGTTCTCTGCTTCCTGCTGCTAATCATCAAAAGGTAAAATCCATATATTTGTAATACAAAAGTCCCTCTTCGATACATAAAAATTGTGTATTTATCTCTTAAGAACGTTGTACGTAATTTCAAGAAAATAATTTAGTTTACATACTAAATGCTAGTGATGATAGGAAAAACACCGTCTCTATTTATGTGTTTCTTTATATTTGAGATTTAAGTTATATACACGGATAGTCTAGTCTGGTTTAGCATATTATAGCATGTTGATTGCTATTTTTATTAGATTACTAATTAATAGTTGAAGAGATTTACTTGTGATGAACTTATAAATGACATGATTGTGTGAAACAAAATTTACAAAGCCTAACTTTTTTTTGTCAGACCTGACTCAAAGGACAAGCTTAATTTAATTAGAGAGCTAGATACCTAATTAGGAGATTGCAAAGAAGATAACAATGATTCACATGACATAAACTTTGGTTTTGTAATTCATAAATCTATTTTAATTAAGTTGTTTAACCTATATATGTCTCTTTAATTACAGAAAAAGCTAAGCTTTCCAGCAACAGTATCTTATGTGCAAGAATACATACCAGAGCTGAAGAAGGAAATTGAGAGATTAAGTCAAACAAAGGATTTGCTTTTATCAACCATATTATCAAAGAAAGCAGATTCATTAGTCCAGCCTAATAATTATAATAATAAGAGAAATACAACTTCTTCTGCATCTTCAACATCTATTTTTGCAAGTCCACTCTGTAATGGGCAGGTTTTGGTACACATCTCTACAACTCAGACAAATGGTTTTCCAATTTCAGAAGCATTTCAAACTTTAGAGGAAGATGGGATTCTTTTGCTAAATGCAACGTCCTTTAAATCTTTTGGAGACAAGATTTTTCACAGCTTGCACTTTCAGGTACTTGGCCTTTTCTTTATATTTGAAATAAGTTACCCAAAACCAAATTGGAGTTGGGGTTAATTTCACTAGGGTCATCACTGAATCCATTATATATAAAAGTAAAGTCACAAATCTATTTTTTGATAACATTAAAATAAGGGAAATTAGTCTCTCAAATATTGACAAAGTTTGATATTGGTCATAACGGCTCCGGTGGGTTCCCTTAACCAAGCCACTGCCTATGAGTCGCCGGCTCATTCTTCAACAGGCACGCGGTCAGAGCCTAAGCTAGTGATGCTTTCGGCTACTGGACTTTCGCCATCTAGGGTGCAGCATTCGGGCTGCTTCGCCTAGCTGCACGACGCTTGTATTGCTCTCCCACAACCCCGTTTTCACGGTTTAGGCAGCTCCCATTTCGCCCGCCGCTACTACGGGAATCGCTTTTGCTTTCTTTTCCTCTGGCTACTAAGATCTTTCAGTTCGCCTGGTTCTCTCTTGCCTGCCCATGGATTCAGCAGCAGTTCGAAAGGTTGCCCTATTCGGGAATCTCCGGATCTATGCTGATTTNGCTCCCATTTCGCTCGCCGCTACTACGGGAATCGCTTTTGCTTTCTTTTCCTCTGGCTACTAAGATGTTTCAGTTCGCCTGGTTCTCTCTTGCCTGCCCATGGATTCAGCAGCAGTTCGAAAGGTTGCCCTATTCGGGAATTATGATTTCTGGTTAAGCACATATAACCTTCAACTAATTAAAATGTGCACTTTTGATCCCTCTGGCAGTGAACATAGTGCTAAGCCATTCAATTATCAATGTGTTGTTAAGTTTGTACTATTACTTCATATTTGAAGGTAATATACTTGTAAAAATAGTCTAAATATCACATATTGACTATACAAAGGGACCAAAAACACACATATTATTTTAATTAAAGATTAAATGTTCTTAGCCAAATATTACAAGGATCAAATCCAGAATTTATCAATAATTGAGGGATCAACAATTCAACAGTACAATTATCCCCTAAAATAATATAGGCGGTAAGCATTTTTAGTTACTAAACAATATAATTTTGTTGTAGTAGCTAACGTAGGCAACCAAAGTAAAGATGTCTATATATGCACTTAAAATGGATGGTTGTTTTTGAAGAGAAACAACTTAATTTCTTAAAAGCTTTAATTTACGTGACTAAAAAAGAAACTATTGACATTTTTCTAATTTATTTTTATTTAATATTCCAGATGCAAGGGACAGTTGGAATGGAGATTCAGAATCTGGAGACAAAGCTTTTAGTAATGTATGAAGAAAATCAAAATCGTAGTTTAGCTTAAATTTTCAGTTCTGCTAAATAATTGTCAATTGCGCGTTGATGATAAATAAAAGTTATGCGTAGTTTCGTTTATTGCTTTAGAATCTAAATAACTCCCTATTAAAACATCTTAAATACTACATGAAGCCATTTGAAAAGAAGAATAAGAATACTTTAAAACAAAACAAAAAATGTTAGAGACACTCCTCACTTTGCTCATTCATATTACACTCGACTAATTTAGCTTCGGGAATCCAAAGTTTTATTTTCTTATATCATGGGTTGAATTTTGAAACCCAACTTATCTTTTGAACTATGATGATATCACATTATTAAAACTTAATCACAAATCTAAGGCTTAGAAGTACCATTCTAAATCATAAAATCAATGTAGGCAAGTCGAATTTTCCTCCAGTTGCTACTTTAAGGGTTGTTTGGTTAGTGCTTAGTGTTAGGGTTCGAAAATCACAAAGCGTCATGCGAAAGTTAACAAAGCAAACATTGATAACGATAAATCAGACAAAAAGAAATATAATAAAAAGCATATTATATTAATATGGCTTGGTCAAGTCACCTACATATCTACTAATATTTAAAATAAAATAAAAACTTATGAAAGAATAAATTCTCACCCGAAACAAGACTCTGTTAGTGACTACATTGTGGATGCTATTGTTGTTGTGTGAAGGATGGAGCCTCAATTTATAAAGGTCCACAACCTTTTCCTACAAGTAAGGAGTCTGTTAAATATGAAAAAAAATCTATATTTTCTTTTCTAGAAAAAGTAAAATCAATTATGGTAAATTATTTTCCCTTCCTTCAAATAAAGATAAAATCCAATATGGTAAAACAATCAGGGCAAAATCCTAACAATTCTCGTTTATTGGCCTGATTTTTTTCTTGAGAAACTTGATTCGAGTTCTTCATATAATTCATCATTGTTGTTTGGCATGGTTAAAAGTAGGTTGGGTTGAAAAAGTCGAGCCTTGTGTATTAAAAGTGAGCACGAGTTGATGAAAATATTGAAGCTCTGTATTAAAAGTGAGCATGATTAAAAGTAGGAGTTCATGCGTTAAAAATAAGCAAGGATTGAAAGTGAAATTTATGCGCCAAAAGTAAGCATGAGTTGAAAATTAGAGCCTATAAGCATGAATTAAAAATAATTTTTATTTTAAAGATGCAGCAGTAGGTATGTTGAAAATATATGGTTGAAAGTGTATTTTCACATGTTGTACTTAGACAATTTTTTTTTTTGGATAAGAATATTCTTTATCGTCAAATTGGTTATAACTTGATCTGAACCGCCTTGAACTAATCTCCAACCTCATTGAGCCTTGAACCAATCTCCAACCTCGTTGAACCATTGGCTCTAATACTACTTATAGAGATCGAAAATAACAAGGCGTCATGCGAAAGCTAACAAAGCAAACATTGGTGACGATAAATCAAAGAATTACTAACAAAGCATATTATATTAATATGGTTTGGTCAAGTGACCTACATAAATCTACTACTAATATTTTAATTAAAAAAAACTTATGAGAGAATAAATTCTTTCCCTAAACAAGACTCTCTTAGGAATTCTCAATTTATAGAGGTCCACAACATTTTCCTACAAGTAAAGGATCTGTTAAATATGAAAAAGATCTATATTTTTCTTCCTACAAAAAGTAAAATCTACTATGGTAAACTCTTTTCCTTTCTTTCAACCAAAAAAAAAAAGTAATAGTATTTGGTTGGAGGACTAGGAAAATTATATCCCTTCTTAACTATTGATGGTTTATTCGATTGTATAAGAAAAGAATAAACCAATGCTTAGCTAATGCAACATTTAGTTACTGGTAAATAACGTCACATTAGTTGTCACATTAGTTACGCTAGAATCTATGAATAATTTTGTGAGGGATACAATGTGGAGTAAATACATATGCTAGTAATACTAGGATAAAAGCATTTAGAGACTAAAAAGTGATCTTAGAGTAAGTAATTCCTACATAACATTCTATATGTTATTATTTATTGCATAATAATTCCTACTATATTATGAACCGCATAAAAATCCTTCAATTATTATTCATCGTATAAATATTCCCTTCATTATAATATATTCCATGTTGCGTTTTTTCTTTAAAGGGTGTGATTGCACCTCTCCATCTCACCCTTCCTTTGCCTATAAATTTAGAGGCTTGTCCTCATTTTTAAGATATGGAAAAGTCTGAAATCTTCTCACCTCTTTTCTACATTGTTGCATTATTTTCTAAATAAGTATAAGTGTCAAGTGTGATTTGCTCCGTTTGTTGAGTTCGCTGAAGTTCTGTGATTGAAGTGTCGCTATCACAGAATTGTTATTCCGTTCTATCCTGGGAGGAATTAATCCGTATACCTTGGGCAACAGTGAGGGGATTAAATTTCTTAAGGACACACTGTAAATTCAGTGAGTTCGAATTTAATTTTGTTCTTCCTATGCATTTCTCTTTCTCTTTTAATTTACATGATTTTGATTTTGAACACAGTATTGATAACAATCTTAAGGAATTTAATAATCATTAAAAGATGGTATCAACTGCTGCTTTTGGCACATTTTCGTTGAAAAATGCAAGCGTCGCTTTCATGAATATAAAGCTGTATCTCTGTGCATTAAGGGAAAGGTAATCGGTTTTCTAGTAGTGATGAAAGAACATTGTGCCTATCCTAAGATAAAAATGTCATGGTTACAAAGTTTTGGGTATTAAAAAGCCCACGTGACTTTACAACTTTATTGTTCATCATTCTTCTTAAAGGTTGGGACAACATTTGTCAATTCTCCGTGGTTTAGTTATGTGGGTGCCATAATTATGGTTGCCATGTGAAGGTACTTTAAAGTAGAAATAAGAATTATCATTGATAAATTCTTTCATATTCTGCACTATTTATTTTATAACATTATTTTAACTTGAGGATAGATAATTAATGACTACAATCATCATGGGATGATCATAAACTGATAAAGTAGTCCTTTTATCGGTTCTTAAAGCACCGTCACTTACAAGGAAGTTAGACGGCATGAAATTAAGTTCAAAATTTTTAGAAAGTTTTGAAAGAGGCCAAATAAAAAATGGTGACTTGTTCTGTGTATCTTCCAACAAACCCATTTGGTTCGCCTCGGAAAAGAATCGATTTTGATGATAAAGATAAAAGGGGTGCAAAGAATGATTTGAGACCCAATTGGCTGAAAATCTTCAAGGCAATTCCTGTCCAGTAGGAATTGAGTTATACCTCGATAATATTGATATTTCGAGGAAAACATAAGAGCCAGTAAAAGAAAAGCAGTGTCGAATGAAACTGTCTCGGGGGGAATACATCAGGGTAATGTTTTCTATTTTCTCTCACTCAACTTATAATGTTTTCCCATTAGTATTCTATCCTTTGTGATTTGTGAATTCAGTTTCTACAAATGTTAGGATAGATGTTTATTATGTGATAATCTCATAATTTATATTTGTTAGCATGCCATAAAATTAGTTAGTTGGTATATAACTTTGATAGCATGCTTAAAATTATATGAAATAATATTTTTCCAAGATTGTAAGACATGAATTAGGCTTACACTAACTCTTGAAAATATTTTTAGAATCATGAACATAATATATGTAAAGGTATACATAGATTTGTTTGATTAGGAAAAGAGATCAAACGGTTTAAAGTGTTATAATGGTTTAGTTGGAAAACCATTTGGAAATGGAATTAAAATTCTCTTCTTTTTTTTTTACACCCGTTAGTGAGAATAAAATCTTCGTGATTTTCTACTCCTGTTTCGAGATCAAAATCTGCGTATTTTTTACTCGTTCGTTGAGATTAAAGTCTTCGTGACTTTCTACTCATTTGTCGGAAATTAAAGTCTAAGTGACTCTATACTCGTTTTGGAGATTAAAATCTTAGTGATTTTCTACTCCAATTTATTATTCGGTTTGAAGATTAAAAACTTCACCGTTTATTAAATTTGATTGTGTCACATATTACTCGGTTTGAAAATTAAAAACTTCACTGTTTATTAACTCTGAATGTATCAGATTGGTTTGAAGATTAAAAATTTTACCATTTATTAATTCTGGCTCTGTCGTGACACAAACAACAGTTCTTGTAGTTGATTCTACAATGTAATAGGGGCGTCGAATATGAATCTCCATTAATCTCCATTTGACAAAATATATTTGGAATATGAAATTATTCAACAAACGACCGTCCCTTTGTCATTGCAATCTAATTGAATTGCGGAAAGAAAGAATAGAACGTTAAAGGAGATGATGAATGTCTTGTTGATAAGTTCTGGTTTACTCTAGAACTTGTGGGGAGGGGAGTTATTCTTACAACTAACCGAATACTAAGTCGCGTTCCTCATAACAAGACGCAATCCATTTGTCACGACCCAAAATCCCACCACA